GACGATAAGCATTCCCTCCTTCAATACCCTAGGACCAAGCTGCAACCTTTGGTTAGAAACCACATCCTTTGTGAAGAGATCTTAACCGCAAGCCAATGCGTCCGCGGATGCGCCATTCCAACCCTTCGCCAGGATGATGTCCTCCGCCAACGAAGAGGATCCCTTCCTCCAAGTTCAACAGTACGCATCGCATCCCTTTCGCATCCAACCACATACCACTATGCATCCTTCCTCTAACTGACTATCACCTCTGAACCAAAAATACTGACCAAGAACGCACAAAACAGAGACGTCCTTGCCCAACTGGATTCAACCAGACCCCTATTCACATCCTACCTACGCATCCGCTCCCTCTCAACCTCCCCAACCTCCCCCGAACTCGCCTCCGCCCGCGCCGACCTCGAATCCGCCCTCGCCTCCCTAGCCGAAGACCTTGCCGACCTCGTCGAGTCCGTCAAGGCCGTCGAATCCGACCCGACAGCCTTTGGCCTCTCCGGCCCAGAAATCACGCGGCGCAAGAGGCTAGTCCAAGATGTCGGCGGCGAAGTGGAAGACATGCGCGAGGAGCTCGCCAAAAAGCTCGGCGCAGCAACAGCAGGAGGCAAGGGCAAATCCTCAGCCGCAAACTCGGACCTCCCCGATCCGAGCTCCTTCGCCATAGGCGACGGCCACCACGGAGACCACGACGACGACGACGACGACTACGCGGCCGAGTTCGAGCAGCAGCAGCAGCTCGAGATGATGCGCGAGCAGGACGGCCACCTGGACGGCGTGTTCCGCACCGTGGGCAACCTGCGGCGGCAGGCGGACGACATGGGCCGCGAGCTCGAGGAGCAGAGGGAGATGCTCGAGGTCGTGGACGGCGTCGCGGACCGCGTGGGCGGGCGGCTGCAGACGGGCGTGGCGAAGCTACAGTACGTGATGCGGCACAACGAGGACCGGCTGAGTAGCTGCTGCATCGCCGTGCTCATTTTTGTGCTGATCTTGTTGCTTATTTTGTTGTTGATTTTGTAAAAGAAAAAGGAGAGAGTGTCACTGGATTGCTGCCCGGCGAGACCGAAGTAATGATGGACGGCTGGAGGGATGTGGGAATCATTAGAAGACGACAAAAAAGGGAAGAGTGATGGCGAAATGCCGTTTCTCTTTGAAATGAGGGTTTGGGAGTTTATGGAGCGTGTTTGGAACTATTGTCAATGAAGTTTTTTGTCTTTTACTACTTTGAGAGCCTTTCATTTGGGGGCTATGATATATTTCAGTCATCCAACTCACGATACGCAATGTCTAGAGTACGTGTCTTTGTATCCTCCCCTAGCAGACCGCCCCAACTTGCTTCAATGGATGAGCCAAACCAAAGCCCAGACCCCGTGCTCATCGCAAGTCATTGTGAAGTCTTGCGGTTTTGGTTCTTTTAGGTGTATAAGCACCCCCATGCCAGGATGCCCAGAAACGCCATAGTATGTGTACCCCCTTGAAAGCACTTCCCCAATATTGGCAACCCATGCCTCTCATGTATGTGTACAAAAGGTAATTCGTCTACCTTGGCTTTTGTTTCCTCCCCCCACCATCTATGCCACATCTAACCCAGAGTCTCGTCTCAAAACGTCGCCTAGGACCTGCAACGCCTGAGCGGCCGTGGCCCCCGGAGGGGCTCTCTTAGGAAACTCCACCAACGCCATCCTGAGGGCCGCGACGGCAGCGTTGCCGTAAAAGTTGATGAAGCGCTGTTCGTGACCGTCAATCATGGACTTGAGCACCACGTACTGCGTGTTGGAGACGAGCTGCGGCGGCGAGTTGACAATCTGCGCCATGGCCTTCCAGTAGTTTGTCGGCGGGTAAGGGTTCGTCTTGGACGCCTTGCTGAAGTCCCGGAGCGCAATGGCCGCGAAGCCGGCGCCGAGACCCGTCATCCTGTCGTTGTGCGCCTGCTCGGGCACCCAGTTGCCGTTTTCCTTCTTCCAGCCAATGGCTCTGCGGCCGCCCTCCGTCTTGTCGCTGCCTCTAGAGCCGAAAAGGACGGGGCAGGCCACGCGGAATTTGGCGATGAGGATGTCGATCATGGAGCCGCCGCGCCAGTGGTAGTCCTTGTTGGAGAAGATTTGCGCCGTTACGATGCCGACCGGCTCGGCCGACTTTGGGTTCGCGCCGCCTTCGTTGGAGAATTGCTGGATGATCGCCTTGGAGAGGATGTTGAGGAGGTATATGAACAGGGCCGGTAGCTGCGGTCCGTTGTTAACAGCGCCTTCGGCTGGCTCCCTGTTTTGCTGCACGTATATGCTTGCGTCGATTAGAGGTGACGGGACCTGGCCGCCGAGAGATTCGCGCAGTGCGGCATTGATCGTGGCAAGCTAAGACATCGTTAGCATTTGTCTTGTGACACCAACAAGACCAGACTTACGGGTTGCGCGTTTGCTCCTTTGCCAGCAGTCAGCTGCCCAATAGACTTCCTGATTTGTCTCCGCATTTCTCCCAACTTGCCCTTCAATGGATTCCCAGGCTGTTTCGACAGGGCTTCGACGTCCTTTCGCAGCTTCTTGAGAGCTTGGTGTATCTGGGTGTACCTGTCAACAGTCGGTTGAGCTGGCACTGGTGCAGGCGCGGCAGGCTGAACAGCGGGCTTCGGGGCTGAAGGCGCTGCTGCGGGCTTCGTGAGGAAACCATTGGATTGGGTTGACGGCGTAGCAACGATCTGTGCGGGTGCTTGTGAAGGCGCTGCAGTAGGTGCCTTCGCGGCTGGGAGAGCTGATGTCGTAGCGGTTGTCAAGGGGGCTGGCTTTGGTGCGGCCGGCGGCACAGCAGCGGGCTCGGCTTTGGCCGCCGTTGTGCCATTGACCTGAGATTCTTGCGACTTCTTCGGCTCCGGCTTGGGCGGTTCAGGTACGGGTTCGGGAGGGAGTTGAGGAATCTGCTTGGCCTTGAGCTCTCTCAGCCTCTCTTGCTCGGCGCGCACTGCTGCTTCTGCCTTGAGGCGATTTTCTTCCTCTTTTTGTAGCTGTGCTATCCTCCGTTGCTCAGCTTCCAACCTTTGCTTTTCCTCCTGCAATTGGTGGACCTCATAGACCCTCAAAGCGGCGAGGCGAACACGCTCGTGCTCGAGCTGGGCAGCGGCGAGGGCATCGCGATGGCTCAGCTCTGAATTACGATTCTCGGAGAGAAAATCTGCTGTGAAGCCTCGTTCGGGGCTTGACTTGATGTTGCTATCGTGCTGGCTTCTCCGCGAAGGAGAAGAGTGCGCCATGGTTGGTCGCACAGTTGGCTACCAATGGCCTCGATGGTGTGGTCGTGGGTGGGAATTGAGACCAGGCCCTACGGCATCGGGCGGTGGGGTCAGGCGCGGGATGCAAAATTGCACCGACAACCGAGAGAAACAAAATCAACAAAACCCAAGGACCCAACACACCAACAAACGGCCGATCGAAAGAGTGACGTCCGCGGGTGGGCGGTTGGATGGGGAAGGCAAGGCAAGGCTCGGGCGATTTCTGAGAGAGTCCAGACGAGGCTGTGCTTCTTGACGTCTTCGGGGCCGTTTGGGTCAAGTGGTGTCGTCAAGCGGACAAGGTATTGGTTGACGGTAGGTATGCCGTAGAAGGCGTAGGTACTGTCGAGTTCAGGTTGGGCGCGGCGTTGGTGTGGAGCAACAAAAACTAATACGATGTATCAGGCGCGCTTTGATGTGGGATAATGCTACCGTTCGCGGCGGCCTGGGGCTCTTTGAGGTGAATTGGGGGGCGGGCCTGTTGCTGAGCTGTGGGAAAAGGCGATGACCCTTGTTGCGCTGTCGCCCTGGACCCGTGTTGCTGCTTGCAGCTCTACCCTTTTTGCTCCATGGGGTGGGTGAGCAGACGAGCAGACCAAAGTGATGGAGCAGAACAGTCATCAGCAGAGCAGCCAAAGAAGCAGCAATCGACCAGACCTCAGGAAAAACGAAGAAGAGACGTCGCCGTGGTAGCGACCCAGGTGGGTCCAGTAGGAGCTAGATGGACGAATGATAGCTCTGAATCTTGGCAGAAAGGAGCACAGCGTCCCCGCTGTTTGGTCGGACCGCAAAGTGGGGCATTAGCCCGAAGTCGGGCAGTCACATTTATTGCCGGGCGGTCAAGAACTGAGTACGAACTTCCTCGGTCTTTGCACCGTTATCCGTACCAAAAGTGCATTCATAGTTTACGGAGTGCCTAGGTCAATGAACAAAAGTGAATATTCCTGTCATGTCGTTGAGATTCTGCAATTGGAATCGGACCCGGCCCCAATTTCCAACTGGGGAGTCGGCTCAAGTCTGGATCTGGCCCGTCTCGCCTTGACTTTCCCTCTCGGTTTTGCTGGCCTGGCAAATGAAAATCGGCAACAGCCAACACGACCGTAGACTGGACGGAGCGTCCGAGAGCTGGGCATGACGGGGAAGAGAATCTTCAACCTAGTATTCGTACCGATACCTGCTCAGATAGAGTGTGTGATGCCATTGAGGAGAAATCTTGTCAGGGAGGTACGTAGTAAACTCCACCGTTGCACTGGGGGGAATACCTAGGTATGTCAATCACAGCTCTGATGAATGATGACTGAGGGATGCTGCCATGCTGCCATTGCCCGGAGCTTCCTGGTCCTCATGGCTGGGGGACCGACCAGAGCAACGCAACGCAACGCAACGCAACGACAGGAGAGCTTGCTGCAGCCTGCAAGCCTCGCTCAGGTATCCGTACGGTACGGTACGGCGTAGGGGTTCTGTTGATGTGGTGTCCAACGATGCGGTATCCATCCGGAAACACTGGCGTATTCCTGTTCCCCCCTTGACTTGAGCCCTGCATTTGGCTTGCCCACCGCGCAGCACCCCCGTAGACGCCAATGTACCTAGTAAGTAGCCGCCGCTCGCCGGCCGCTGACCATCCTGTTGCCCCGAGGTACGAAGCCAAGGTTCCTGACTTGCTGGCCCTAAGTATTTCGTTTGTGCTGCTAGCAGCTTTATGCGTACACAAGGGAAGGTCATGTAGGTAGTCATACTGTTGACTGTGTCAGTAGTCAGTGCCAGTGTGCGAGACTAAAGGGCCGCAGGAGACGGAACTTGGCGGGCGTTCCAGTCCCAGTTCCAGCCCAGCCCTCGAGAGACTCGAGACTACGCAGTAGAGACTGAGAGTCAACCCCCCTCGGCTCGCTCCTTGCCCACCTACGTAAGGTGTCTGGGACGACGACTGTGGTGCGGGTGAGATGGGCGACAGGTCAAAGTCAGGGTGGTGCACTACGGCAAGGTACTGATCAACAAAGTATCCGAGCGGCTAACCTGTTACCTGTCCTCGAACCCGGAAGCCCTGACCTGGTTCTGGCTCTGTCTCTGGGCCTGGCGTGCAGCGAAGGTGCGGCGTGGACTCTCCCCACCCGCGTCGAGACCTGACTGACTGGAGACGTCTGACTGAGTCTTGTTACCTTGGGTAGGTATGTACTCTCGTACAGAGTATCCGCCACAAGGTACAAAGCACTCGACCCCAAGTCAGGCTCGTTCGGGGGCACGGGGGACAGGTACTTCCTTGCTTACCAGTGCCATGTTTGGGGACAAGCCGTCAGCCATGTACCTCTAGCTTGGGGTAAGGTACCTACGGATACCTGGCCTGGATTTTGTCGTTACCTCGACTTTTGGAGGCATTTCCAAGCTGGGCTGGTTGGGATAGCTACATACGAGACCCTTGGATGGGATTGCGAAAAGAGCTCGAGGTGCGAATGATGCATTTCGGATCCAGTTGTGAAGGAAGGGATGTTTTAGCAGAAACACATGCAGAGTCCAGCACGAGTGCACAAGCTTCTGCTGCAGACAAGATCAAACCAAGCAGCAGCCTGTACCACCATCGTCATCATCATAATCGCCGCGTCTCCCGCCTGCCTACGTAAGGTAAGATACTTGGACTACCTACCTCGCCTGGGTACGACCTGTCTGTCTCCCTACAGGGCCGCCATGTGTGCTATTGCCTTCTGGTAAATCACTAGCGCACCATGTACCTTGTCGTCCACCAGCGGCTCAGCTTCCAGTGCCAGTTGTGCTCCTGGGAGGTGTGCTTCGTACCCAATGGTGGGAAGGCATTCGTATGGTGAGGTAAGGTAGGTAGGTACTTTTATACTTACCTTAGCTACGGGACTGGCCCGGTGTCTTGAGTCTTCCCACCAGGCGGGCCGGCTCTTGCTGCAACTGCCTGTCCCTCCTCCACCGGGGCGGGTGCTACTGCTGTCCTTGCTCCTCCTCCTCGCTCGCTCTCTCTCCTCAGGTCTGCTCCCCCCCCTCCCCACTCCACACCCCCCCGACCCGACTCGCCTTTCGCAACAAACCCCCCGTCAGTCTCTCCCAGAGAGGACATTCCCATCCTGCCTCATCTTCTTCTTCACGTCTTGTCTGCCTCATCCTTTTTTTCCCACCTCAACCATCACTTCGCACACTCCTTGCGAGCTCCTTTCCCTTCCACCTCGCTCCGTCTCGCCAGACATCCAATCCTCTCCTCCCAATCACTCCCCAATCCATTCCATTTTCAATCCCTCATCGATCGATCAGACAAACAAGAACTACCTTCCTTGAACCAGAAGCAACCACGTCCACAAATCCAAAAGACCAACCAAGAGCCCAAAACCACATCCATCCCAGTTCTCCACTGTCTTTAGTCCGCCAACTACATACGTCAATACCTTACGTGCCACATCATCCCACAAAGCTTCATCGACGCCTACGCCGACCACTCGGTATCCGACGCTATCAATCCTACCCCCATCCGTCCTTTATACCAACGACGCACTTGACGTGCATTACAAGATACAAAAAAATCAAGAAGCCAATCTTTCATCTGCGTGACTGCCCATCATGGAGCAGCAGCAGCAACAACAGCAGCAGCAGCCGCCGCAGCAGCCAACCGGCGGCGTCCCAGGCCCAACCGGCCGACGGCTTCACATTGCGCACAGGAGAAGCCCTTCCGAGCTGACTCCGTTGATGAGCATGTTTGCCAACCCGGGTAGTACGTTGATTCGCATCTTCTTCCATCATTTCTCCCATCTTCACACATGATCTTGCGGCTCCTGCGCGATGCCCCCGACCCCTCGTCACCCGTTTCATCATACCAAAATGAACATCGATGCTGACAATGAGTCTTGCTTTGCAGTGGAACAGCTAGCTATTCAGCAGCAGATTGAGCTTTTGCAGCAACAGCAGCAACAGATCCAAGCTACGCAGCAACAATACATGAACATGGGAATGATGCCCCCCACCCAACAGCTCGGTCCAGGCGGTGCTTTCAATCCCCTGCAGCCCGGCATGGCTCCCCAGGGCGCCTTCCAGTTCCCCCAGCAGATTCCGCAGCAGAATGTCTCCATGGGCGGTCCTCCGACCCAGCCAATGTCACATCGCCGTAATCAGTCGGCACTCCCCAACATGGGAATGGGTCCTCCTCCCGCCCCCTCCTCTGGTGCATCCGGCACGAACTTCAACGATGCCTCCGGCGCCGGTCCCGGCAGGGAAAACTCCGGTGGCCGTGGCGGTCGTGGTGGTGGTGCCGGCGGCGGTGGACACCAGCGACGTCACTCTTTGGCGCTTGCCGACGCGAAGAAGGCGGCAGAAATCGCACAGCAGAAGCGCACGACATCCGCCTTCTCCTTCCCAATGTCCCCCTCCACCGAGGCCAGCGCCGAGGGTGGTGCCTCCGCCCCCGCCCCCGCTCCGACTCAACCCGAGGCTCCGATTGCTCAGGGCACCAGTGCCGGCCGTGGGCGCGGTGGCCATGGTCGCAGCCAGAGTATGGCTGTGAACGGTCGCGGCGGCGCCGCTGGTCGCGGTGGCTTCTCTGGTGATGCTAGCCAGAACGACTTTGGTCGTCGCGGCAGCCAGACTGGCGGCGGTGGTCACGCCAGAACCGGCTCTCGCAACTTTGACGGAAACTGGCGCAACCAGGGTGCTAACCAGGGCCAGGAGCAGGGCGGCTTCCAGCCGGGCCACCGCACTCGTGGTTCTGTAAACCAGTCCATCTCCAACATCGGCGCATTCCAATACCCCGGTCAGCCTCAGCTTATGCAGATGCCTGGCAACATGCTCCCCATGGGCATGTACCCGGGCCAGCAACTGAACCCCATGCAAATCCAGCAACTTCAGGCCCTTCAGGCTGCCCAGATGGGCGGTCAGCAATTCGTTGGCCTTCAGGGCGGCCAGCATGGTGGCCAGCTTGGTGGAAACCAGCAACAGCAACAGCAGAGGAAGACTCTTTTCACTCCTTACCTCCCCCAAGCCACCCTCCCGGCTCTTCTCGGCGATGGGCAACTCGTGTCTGGTATTCTTCGCGTGAACAAGAAGAACCGCAGCGACGCCTACGTTTCCACTCAGGACGGCCTGCTTGATGCTGATATCTTTATTTGCGGTAGCAAGGATCGCAACCGTGCCCTCGAGGGTGACTTGGTTGCCGTTGAGCTTCTAGATGTTGATGAAGTTTGGTCCCAGAAGCGTGAGAAGGAAGAGAAGAAGAAGCGCAAGGACATCACCGATACCCGTTCTGGATCCACCAACGGCCAGAACCAGTCATCCGGTAACAACGATGACAACACGCAGCAGGAGGGCGGCATTCGTCGTCGCGGCAGTCTGCGCCAGCGCCCCACTCAGAAGAAGAACGACGATGTCGAGGTTGAGGGTCAAAGCCTGCTTCTCGTCGAGGAGGAGGAAATCAACGATGAGGCCAAGCCCCTGTACGCAGGTCACATTGTGGCTGTCGTTGAACGTGTAGCTGGTCAAATGTTCTCGGGCAACCTCGGTCTGCTCCGTCCCAGCAGCCAAGCTACGAAGGAGAAGCAGGAAGCGGAGAGAGCCGCCAGAGATGGAGGCAACAACCGCCACCACGACAACCGTTCGCAGGAGAAGCCCAAAATTGTTTGGTTCAAACCTACCGACAAGCGCGTGCCGCTCATTGCCATTCCGACTGAGCAGGCGCCGCGCGATTTCGTCGAGAAGCACCAGGATTACGCTGATCGCATCTTTGTTGCCTGCATTAAGCGTTGGCCGATCACCTCTCTGCATCCCTTCGGCACCCTTGTCGAGCAGTTGGGCCGCATGGGCGACCTTAAGGTGGAGACCGACGCTCTGCTGCGCGACAACAACTTTTCTTCCGATGAGTTCTCCGAGGCTGTGCTGCGCAGCGTCGGCCTTCAGGACTGGTCTCTCGCTAAGGAAGAGGAGGCTGCCTTGGCTGCTCGCCGGGACTTCCGTGATGAGAAGGTTGTTACGCTCGACCTCAACGGTTCTCCCGAGCTTGCCAATGCCATCCACATCAAGACTCAGCCTGATGGCAAGATTGACATTGGTATTCACATTCCTGATGTTACTCACTTCGTCAAGCCCAACTCGCTTGTCGACCGAGAAGCCAAGAAGCGCGGCACCGCCGTTCACTTGGTCAACCGCACATGCGCACTCCTTCCTCCCAAGATTGGTGGAGAGGTATGCTCTTTGGCTCCTGGTGAAGAGCGTCTGGCTGTCAGTGTTCTCTTCCGTGTTAACCCTCACAACGGCTCTGTTGCCGAGGGAGACACTTGGATCGGCAAGAGTATCATCAAGAGCACTGCCAAGATCACTATTGAGGAGATCGATTCGGCTCTGAACGGTCAGGCCGATTGGAAGCACGAGTCTCTTCAACTGAAGGATGTCCAGATCCTTAACGTAAGTTCCACTGAAACTTGCATCTGAGCTGCACTGACATTATCTAGGCTGTCGCTCAAAAGTTCACCGAGGCCCGTCTTGGTGCTGGCGGTGAGCCTATCGCGCCCCTCAGGCTTCTGCAGCAACTCGATGATGAGAACATTCCCATCAAGCACAACATCTTCGATTCTACCCCTGCCACTGAGCTCGTCGAGGAGCTCATGCACAAGGCCAACACTTACGTTGCCCAGCGTCTCGCCCAGGCTCTGCCTGAGAAGGCTCTTCTGCGCCGACAGGGCCCCCCCAATGCTCGTCGCCTTCAGACCTTCGCCGATCGCATGAACGCCCTTGGCTACGAGGTTGAGACTTCTGGCAGCGGAAGCATGCACAACAGCCTTTTCAAGGTTGACGACGCCGATATCCGCAAGGGAATGGAGACGCTTGTCCTCAAGTCTATGCAACGTGCCAAGTACTTCATTGCCGGCAAGACTGCTAAGCAGTTGTGGCCTCACTATGCCCTCAACTTGCCTCTTTACACTCATTTCACTAGCCCCACGCGGCGCTACGCCGACATCATCGTCCACCGTCAGCTCGAGTCTATCCTCTCCGAGGGTAAGATTGAGTACACGGAGGAATTGGAGAGCCTTGTCAAGACCATTGAGTCTTGCAACACCAAGAAGGACTCCGCACAGAATGCCCAGGAGCAGAGCATTCACATTGAGTCCTGCCGTGAGATGGACAAGAAGCGCCAGCAGGTCAACGGCGATCTCATCACGGAGGGTATCGTCCTCTGCGTGTACGAGTCGGCCTTTGACGTTCTCATTCCCGAGTGGGGCTTTGAGAAGCGGGTGCACTGCGACCAGTTGCCCCTCAAGAAGGCCGAGTTCAGAAAGGAGAAGAGAGTCCTTGAGCTCTACTGGGAGAAGGGCGTGCCCAGCTCCGCCTACGTTCCGGAGGACGAGCGCCCCAAGGCTGCTGCGTCTGTAAGAAACGCCAACGCTGCTGCTGCTGCTGCTCGCCAAGCGGAAGCTGCAGAGCGTGCCAAGAAGGAGAGGGAGGAGGCTGCACGCAAGCAGACCGAGACGGGCACCATCTCTACTGACGACGTCGATGCCCTTTTCGACGACGATGACGACAATGCGTCGGACGTTACTGAGGCCATGGCTGGAGCTTCGTTGGCCGAGAGACCCACACAGAGCGTCCCCGGCTCCCCGACCCGATCCGATGCCAAGCCCTTGCAACGCACCAGGTCCGACTCCAAGGTTCCCGCACCTGAGGCCCCCGAGGCCCGCCTGTCGAACAAGGAGAAGTACCTCAAGCTTTTCAAGCTGCGTGAGGAGGGAGGAGAGTACATTCAGGACGTCACGGAGATGAGCAGGGTTCCTGTGATTCTCAAGACGGATCTGTCCAAGAGCCCACCGTAAGTTTACAACTATCTATCAAAGTCTGGAGACGTGTGCTGATTCGAAGTAGCTGCTTGACCATTCGGTCTTTGAACCCCTATGCTCTGTAAAAAGGAGTTGTCTTGACATTACCTGTCCCGTGTGGGGACACGGTGTGATGATCGTTTCCAACAGATTGGCGGGCACATTGTGCCTTGTCATCGACTAAGATGCATCATGAGTGATGTAGAAAAAGTTTGGGTGAGAAGAGGGATGATACATTGCGATTGGGAAGGGAGTAATAGCCAGCATATCTTCGTCCCTGGATGAGTCATATAGCACGATAGGCCTGAAGTCTGAAGTCGAGAGGAGGGCGGTGGATGAAATAGTAGAGATAGCGCCCATGAGTTAGTCAAAATGGTACCACCAATTGCACACACTATAACGCGCAACCAGTGTCTTGAAAACTGAAGGATCGCCCAGATACTTTCGAAAGCTGCGAGTGGTCAGCCAGGCATGTGGAGAGGCATGGCGTCTGCAGACTGCGAGATTATACGTCTTCCACGCGGAGCGAGCAGGGCTACCCTTGCGCCGC